AAGCCAGATTCCATTCAGATCCAAAAAATGGATATGAAAATTATTAAATTTTTGATAACTGGTGCCACATGACAAAAGCAAGTTAGATAATTATACAATAGATGGAGTAGATTAATAATGTAAAAATAGTTCATTTCAAATGTGCATATTTTTAGGAAATATAGGAATACTCTGATGATGGGGAAATTGTCCCGAAATATAAGATATAACAGATGTAATTAAAAGGACTGAAGAAAAATGGAAGTATTTTTTGCCTTAACCTTGGTAAAAAATTATGGATGACATATAATACAATATTTAGGAATAATAAGAAATAGGTGATTAAGCTCAGGAGATTGAGCTATGCGGGACATGTTGCAAGGATGGGTGAAATAGAGATCCCAAAAAAAATTTCAATTGAAGTTCTGTATCCACACTTGGGACCAGAACTGACTGGAGAATGGCTGCACAAGATAGAGCCCAATGGCGGAGGATTATTGAGGAGGCCAAGAACCACCACGGGTTGTAGCCCCACATAAGTAAGTAAGTCTACATATTTCTATTCACCAACTACTGTCCAAACCCAACCCTGCCTGATCAGCCTTAATGCAAACCCCCATCTTCGCTTCGGTTAATCTCTCAGATGCTTATAGCACAATACCTATTAATTTTTTAGGATTTTTTTCATTAAGAAGTCCAACAATTGTACATGTTCATTTTATTTGCTGCAATGAAATCACCTCAATTATATTTACTGGGTACATTTCAAATAATTCAGTGTTATGTAGCCATCTAAATTTTCTTATTGATTTATCCCATCCTTCTTCAGTCCAAATATTCTATGCTATGCTTCATTTTTAAAAACCATAAAACGTTGCTCATCCCTTAATGTGAGCGGCCACTTTTCGCATCTATAAAGAAACAGCTTAAGAATAATAGTTTTATAAATTCTAACTTTTAAGTTTAGGACAGGAGGAGCGAGCTAAGTAGTTTTTCAACAGATATACAAAACAGAGAACTCTTTTGAATCTATATTTTCATCATCTTCACGTTTAGGTAGAGTGCAAATATACTGGGTTGTTCAGAAAATAATGCAGGATTTTGAGTTTTCTTTAAAATGCCCCTCTATATAACAAACTGTTTACATTTACTGGATTATTCATTTGTATGAATGTCAACACTTATTAATCCTCTTACAAACGATAAGGTTTGTTATCTTCTGTAGCATTTTCCTCCTTAAAAATAATTCAGTCATTACTAAAATGTCAACAAGTGATTTTTGTATCATGTCGTTTTTACGAATTTAAACTCGGCCAGATGGGTAGTAACATCAATCGAGTCAAGTCTGCTCTCAAGCAGCATTAATGAATGCACTGTTCCACAACAGCTCAAAAAAATTTCAGGAGGGAGACTTCAGCCTTGAAGACAAAGGTCATGGAAGTTCTTCCTCTCTTGATAACGATGTTCTGCGGGCTTTGGTGGAGAAAACCCAGAACAATTGTTCGAGAACTTGCAGGGAAACTTAACCTTAGCAAACCGACTGTTGATGACCACTTCAAGGTTCTTGGAAAGGTAAAAAAGCTTGAAAGATGAGTTCCACACATATTAAAGGACTGCCAAAAAATCCAGCATTATGAAGTTTGTGCTACATTTCTTTGCCAAAACAAAAACAACCCTTTTCTGTCCAGCATTGTTACTTGTGATGAAAATTCGATACTTTACGATAACAGTAACCGTTCTGGACAGTGGCTCAATAAAGAAGAAGCAGCATAACATTTTCCAAAGCCTCCAATTCATCAAGAAAAGGTGATGGTCACTGTTTTGTGGGCTTCAATTGGCAAAAATGAAGGGGCCATCTTTGGTCAATCAGAAGGGGCCCATTTTGTTGAATGACAAAGCCTGGCTACATGTCTCACATTTGACATCACAAAAACTGTTGGAGCTTGGATATGAAACTCTGCCATATCCGCCCTACTCAGCTACGGATTATTATTTTTTTTTATTGACACTCGGACCACTACTTAAGTGACAAAAAATTTAATGGACAACAGGCATCAGAAAATGTGTTTTTGGAGTTATTCAATTCTAAAGATGGGAAATTCTATTCCCAAAGAATAGAAAAGTTTTCAACACATTGGCAGAAATGTATTGATAGTAGTGGAGACTGTTTGATTAAATAAAACAGTTGTAAATCATTCTTTTTTCTTTTTAAGCCAAAGTCCTAAATTATTTTCTGGACGACTCAATATTTTGTCTTTTCTTCATTTATGAAAAGTCCTAATCGTGTTCCTGCATGTTCCAAGGCCAGAGATCTTCCAGTAAGGTTTAGGTCATCTGTGTATTTAAGAACCTATATTTTCTTCTTCATTAAGGTACAGGTCGTCTGAATATCTGAGGCTCTAATAGCTTTCTCCAGAGAGAGGTAAATTAGCAGAGAAGCAAGGCTATCCCAATGTTCGACCCCCCTTCCAGTGAAAAATCCTCTTGAGATCTTACATTACATTTAACTAATTAGGCATACATCGTCGATTTACTCCAAAAAAAATTTCCTTTAAAAAATCACATTATACACTTACAATTAGTGTGACGACTTTTGACCTATCGATGTTGTATTTAAAAGAAAGTAACTGTATTTTGGCAAATTTTCCAAGGATAAAAAATTGTAGTACAATTCTACTTATTCCAGTCTCTTAGCTCTATAGATTTATGTGATTCAAATAGTTTGATGCAGTTACAAGATTTTTATTGCCTGCAATCGATATAATAATTAGGTTTATGTTATTTTGATGGTCTTAATTAGTTTTTGTATTGATAGATATGACCGAATTCAAAAATATGTTGATTAAGGTTAAGCTGCATAAACTGTATTATCCCAATTTTGTCATACAAGACTTGCTTTTCTAAATAGAACAGTAAGTGAAAGTTGTGTAATGCGTGCACCAGATTTTTTTTTCTATATAATTGCATTTTTATGTATTCAAAGGTATGTTTTATTTTCTAATTTTTTTTACCAAAGTGTTTTTATTTAATAAAGATTTATTTTTTTGCATATAAAGTTTTTTATAGAACAAACCCACAGAATCCTTAAAAATCCACTCCAGTTTATCACAAATTTCGCATTTAATTTATCATAATCATTGGTCTGAGAATGGATGTTTATCAAAGTAATTTTAGACCAACAGCCATCAAATAAGGATATCAATATCCTACCATTAAAAAATTGGATGTCCCTAAATGTGAAAAGCATTTTATTCCTAAACAATAATAATCACTTCCTCCGTACCAAAAGTGTATTTACATAAGGCCTCCATTAAGGAGTCCTCCCCTGGTAAGTGAACCGTGAATAGTTAAGTCTTGTTCTCTTTGAAATACTCTCGACAGGATTTAAATAACAAATTTTCAAAATGGCTACTTTAGTACCTTTCATTTTGTTTATTTGAAATAATAAAACGTTTCTTACTGTTAGTAGGAAAAAAAGATGGATAAATATGAACTATGAAAGAATTTGATGGCAAACTAAAGGAGAAATATTTTCCCAGGTTAAAAACTAATTTCCGGGGGTAAGAGTAGAATTATAGATGAAGCAGGGCAGTTTAGATTTAATTGCGTTGACAGTTTTGTTTACTTGACGACTAAGATTAACAAGAATATTAGATGACATACACCAAGAGATTAAAAGAAAAATAAATGGTGCCAATAAATGCTACTATATCCTAAGGAAGCAATTCAAAACCAGGTTCCTGACAAAGAACACTTGTTTGACCAGTGGTAATGTATGGCTCAGAGATCACAACAATAATAAAGGCTGATAAAAAAAGCTCCTAGCTGGTATTCCAAAGGACAGAAGGAAAATAAATATATAGATAATATGGAACTGTAAAGAGACAATTATAAAAATAAATAATGTAAGGAGTAAGTATTGAGAGAATATACTAACAGATACATTTTTAAATGGAAATTCTTTAGATGTCATTGTTGAAACATTTGAAAACATGACAATCCTTTAGATGAAATTAGTCACAGTATTGAAAAACTATTAAAATCTGCTAGGATTTGAGAGTTAGATCACATTTAGCAGACATTGCAAAAAATAACAAATAAAAACTTTTATATTGTTATAATGGAGATATATCATTCTGTGTAGACGAACATAAATATAAAGTATTTACCCAGAAAATAAAATTAATTTTTATCTTATATAACATGCTAAGTTTGTACCCTATGTTACATATTATGAATTGGTTTCTGGAAGAGTAATCTTCATTATATTTAAAATTACAAAAATCAATTTAATTCATGTAAAAAAAATCCTTGAAATCCTACTACAGACCACGAAGGTCTATCTAATTAACATATATTTTTTTTAAGCATTCAGAAACAGGATCAGTATTGCTGAGCTTTTTTTATAATGAGAAATTAAAATTAAAAAAAAATGTCTAACTTATGATTAAGATGCAACCAATTAAATTTAAAAAAGCAATCCAACATGCACACAAAGAAAGAGAGTAGCCAAAATATGAGAATGAATTGCCTAGGGCGGGTTTATCGTGGCTGAATTAATTTGTCAATAACAATATCATTTTATGGCACATGTAAGATAATATTCATAAAACTATAAGTTAAATTTTGGATATGTAAAATATTAACACATTCTTATGCACGGTCAAAAAATAGCTTCATTGCACTTTGAAGGGTTAATATTGATTAAAATTAAGAAAACAAATAATAAATAAAATAACTATTAAATTAATGAAGCAATGCAAATTTGAAAGGTAATCAAGATTAGTCAAATTAAGGATAATATAACAGGGAATGTACTCATATGAGGAGTATACATTCACTGTAAAATTATTAAAACAACGAAAAATTACTATATTTTTTATTTCCCTCTTACTTGCTTCAAATAATACTTATAAGCATAATTAATAAAATAAATAACACAACTCAAAATTTATATAATAAATTATAGTAAACTGTTATTCATAACAAACACCAAATATATCGTAACAAAAATTACTTACATAAGATGTCGGTTGTACTCTCTTCCTGGACAACTATTGCTGAAAAACTGAATAAACTTAACTCCAACAGGTATTTCGAATAATACCATTTTTATAAACTAAAATTAATAATCGTAAAATAAAAGTTTCAAATTAATGTTTTTTTTCTATGGTGAACAAATGATAATATCAGAAGAAGCTTAACCATTTTTAGTTATAAAATAATGGTAAGACAATTTAAGAACACAGTCTGAGGTGCACTTGTCACAGTAATAAGAACGAAAGACATAAAAATATTTCCTTATATAATTGCTTTAAAAGCTAGATAAGATAATGGATTAGAAACATAAGATTACAAAAGAAGATAAGTTGATTAAAAATATGAGGAATATAATTAACGAATGATCAGAAACAAGTGTTCATAAAAACAAACAGTTATTAAAGATTTGACAAGTACATTTCCAATCCATCAATTTGAACTAGGAAGGTAACTGACTATTTGATTGGAAGTTCTAGAGCCAAGGCCATAGAAGATCAAAACACCTCAACAGAGTAGATGATATATAGAGCAAACGAGGTATGTTTAAATTTAACACAACATTAATAAACGTTCTCCTGTCTTTTATTTGTATTTATTTTACGATTTAAAAATAACAATAAAATAATATTGTTTTGATAATATTAAACGTTCTAACGCTAATCTTTAGAAATTAAATTATTGCTACAAAAAATGAGAAATCTTTTCTTTATTTACTAATGTTTTTAGCTTCTTTTGTTTTTAAAAGCATGATTTACTTATTAATCAATACATCCATCCGCTTTTAGCAGATTGAAACAGACCAACTCCATCCCTTTTCCATTCTTTCATACTTTCAAAATCTCAAATTGTTTAGTATTTCTTAGTCTCTCTATTTATGTGATTCAACAGATAATTACAATAACTTGGCATCTTTCAAGCATTTTCTCTCTTGTTCTGTATTTTTATTTGCATCCTACTTGTTCCTGATAAAAGACATTTACTATCGTCTTTACATCGCTTGGCGAACTCATCATACTTTTGGCCAACCCATCAAACTCTTGGCAACCCCAAAACGTTTTTTCTCTCCAAGAATAAAAGCTAATAACCTCCAGGGAATTGTTTTCTTTCCATTTTGAAATAAATTATTAATTCACTTCACAATCCTATCAATGATTCTCGAGTAGCTCTCAGATGTTGAAGATGTTCAGGAGAACTCTCATTGAGCATACCCACTTCAGATGCGTTAGAGTATTTCATCTTGTAGAATCGGAAGAATATAGAGAGTTAGAAAACAGTCGTTTTATAAATACAACAAATGGTTTCCATAACTTGAATATAATAATAATTATTCATAACAGTACCCAGCATGACCTTTTAACTCCATACTAATAACTAAAGGTTGTAAATGATTCACACTAGAACACGGGGATTTGCAAAAGAATCTGAGTAAAATCCCTATCGAACACCCGAAATGGAATGTTTGATATAAAGGTGTTAAACGATAAGGAACCAGTAAATGTAACTGACATCAAATTATAATTATGAATACTAACGTCTTTTAAGTTTTTCTCATATGACCAAATGAGTTGGTTTATTATTATTATTTTTTTTTGAAGTAATTATAGGCTACATTGTGATTTATTATCTACATAAGAACTAAAAAAGGCATTTGTCAATTTAATGTAGGCCATTATACCCTTTTTTTTTTTTTAACAGTACTCCTATGGATAATAAAAGGATTTAGCAATGATTATTTCCCTTGTGATATACTGCTAGTAATATTTTGGTGCTAGTAATGGGATGGAACATGGAACTGAAGGGTTGTGCCCGAATTAATTGGGTTATAAGTAGATATCCCGGATAATTTTACCTTCTTATCTCTATTTTGATAGACTAGTTGGCTACCTGACTACTTCTACAAGCTCAACTACGAGTCTCAAAGGTAAAGAGTAGTTTGTTATATATACATTTAAATAATGTTATTATGAACCAAAGGATATTTAAAGCAAAATATCGTGAATTGCCTGTTTTGATGGTAGATGAAGTTTTGGATTTCTTGGTAAATATGGCAAATTTTCAATAGCTGATTCCTAAAACTTCCACGTTTTTTTCCACTAATAGTAGAAATAAATAGTTTTTTAAATAATGGCATATTTTTAAATTGCGTTTGTTTTTAGATGAATTGTAATTCTTCTATCTAAATACACAGTTACCATTCCAGAAATTTTTGGTCCCAAAAACATCCACTTTGCTAACAGAATTTTATCAACCGTATTTTATTTTTCCTAAACATTAAAGATTGGAAACTTACTGTAATTTATGAGGAATTATTACTGTTGAGTATCATGTTAAAATTTAAGTGGGACCCCCTTGTCATGACCATATATATATATATATATATGTATATATTGAGGGCCTATCGGAGGAGAACCAAAAATTTGTGGGCATAAATGAATACAAAACGAGTATTTTGGAGGTCAAACGTACAAAGGTCACATAATCTATGATTCGTTCTCTCATTCTTCCCCTTACAACGAAACCGATGCCGAGTGTTCAGCTTTCACTATGACACCTATAATAAACTGTATGATAGAATTTGGCATTCCCAGGAAACTTGTCTGTCTTGTTAAAATGACCATGCATGATTTGAGGAATGTCATCAGAATCTCGAGCTAATTTCAGTCCTATATTTATAATCCCCTCAGGCTGTAGCGGCAACGAGATAGATACACGTACAACAGTACCACATAAATATCAAACAATTATCTTCGGGTTCCTCATAGTTGGTCTTCCAATCATTCTGCGGTGATAAAAGAGTACAAAATATAAGTAGAAATACAAATACAAAATATACATCGGATAAGTCCCCAAAATTTACGGAAATAAACGAATACAAAACAATGATCATCGGGACCTTCGGGAAAGGGGGAGAGTGAAGGGGAGGGGGGAAGGGGTGTAACCATTCTACATTGATTAAAAAAACAATTTATTTTTTAGGTACTAAAAAATATATAACAATCATTTTGGAGCCCTCTCTGTCGGCCCCTACTTCAGGGGCCCTCGGCGATCGCTGACTAGCCGATCTGATCAAACCGGGCATGGATGAACCGTACAAAACAATTAATGTTTTAGTTTTGCCTCAAGATCCCCATGGACGTCTCCAGCAATACTCGAAGCAGAGAAATATTAGGGAAGTGATCAGGAGTCTACGGGTTTCAAATGGAAATAGGTTGCGGACGTAATTATAACGTTTTATGATAAAATATCATGGGCGATATTGAATACATGTTCTTTCAAGAAAATGTTTTGATCAAAGATTATTCCAAGGTTTTTAATGCTGGGATAAAATTTGATTGGATTTTCATGCAGGAACAGGGTTGGAATATTAGGAACAATTTTAAGAAGGGGATTAGAGCCTGTGCATATTGCCTTCGTCTTCTTCTCATTAAACGTTAACTTGTTAGCTTCTGCCCTGTCAGAGATTCTAAGTCGTCTTGATGTTTTCTCTGGCTGGTAATAGGTAAGAAAGCGGGAAAGACTGGTATAATTGGAAATAATCTGCATAGATACGGTATTGGAAGGGATGGATCTGGAGGGGAAGATCATTAATGTTAATAGCAAACAGAGTTGGGGATATGGAGGAACCCTGAGGGACACCACAGGAGAGAGTGAGTGTTTTAGAAGGAGGTTGACCTGGGACAACTACATATAGGGATCGATCAGAGAACCAACGCAGGGAACTGGTAGATAGAGGAAGACTTGGTAGTTTAGTAAAGAGAATGTTAGAGTTCGTGATGGCCGAGAGTGTTGGAGCGTTGCCCGATGTAGCATACTCGTGCCTATCAACGACGTTACGAACCCAGCCTGGAAAGAGTTGACAATTATTTCATGGTGGACCCATGGAATGGGACTTGACCTTCCCACTCTGGTTAGAATAGATTGGGTTGTACCTCTAGAACATCCAATAAAATAAACCACAAATTCAATAAAAAAAATAAAGTAAGGAGGGAAATCTAAAAGGATAAGGGTAGTAAGTTTTTGGTGTCCGATGGAGTTTTGGAAGTCATGGGTTATTTTTAGGAGGGCAGATTGGAGTAGCCAGGTTGGGGAGGTTGATTAGGAAATTAAACTAGAACGTTGGAAAGTTGATTGGTGATGAGGCTTACCAATCTTTTTGAAAAGTTGGAAGAGAAATAAGATTGAAATCATGCAATATGGAAGAGTTTGAAGTTTTATTCAAAGACCAGACTAGGACAGTTTTCTAGGAAGATTGGAATATGAAGTTTTGCAATGAAAAGTTGTAGATAAGGTAATGTACGAGGATAAGGATGAGAAGACTAAATTGTATTAGTTGTACTAGTATATTATCTGAACCATATTCATTGGTGTGGGATTTTAGAATAAGTGGAAAGTAGTTGATCGTAGGACACATGGGAGGAAAAGAAGTCTTCCGGATTGAAATTTTGAATTATATTTACGACTCTTTTACTGAAAAGGCTTTCTTTGCGGAACTAAAACTAAAGTTCCCTATACACAGCCCTGTTTAGCAATTTATCGACAACTTGAGGTGAAATTGACTGGGAAGTAATACTTGGGGATGTAGATTTTGAGAGTAGTTTACCCTCGATGAATAACATCTCAGGCGAACTCTTCGCTGGGCTTGAAGGCTGAATACCTGGGCTTTAATAAAATCAATAAACCTAATCTATGCTCTGCTAGCAAAGGATTATCTTAGTTCACTGACAACCATTGCCGACGGGACATCTGAGGATATAATTGCTATAAATAAAGTTATAAGGATATAAAGCTCTTCATGAAGAAATATAGGAAAGTCCTCGAATAGTGGGTAATAATCTTTTACTCTGCCTATCAACAAAGTGATAAATACTAAAAATCATCAAGAAAATGATTAAATTTATCAAATTATTTTACAATATGTTAAAAATAGAACTTGAGGTTTTATTGATAATCCTCTTGGTATCATTTTCAATCCGAAAATTTCTTGATTCGCTTTAAAGCTATAGATAATAACACCTCTTTTCACCTTCTGAATTAGTTAACTCTTTTGAGGTCAAATTTGTATTACAAAAGCTAATTATTTGTAAATTTCCTATTCTTAGTGCTACTAGCGGATCCAAGATTTAATTTGGGGGGAGGGGGCTTCAGCCCGAAAGCTTTTTTTTCATAAAAATAACGATAGTTTGGAAAAAAAAGAAAGAAAGAAGCTATCTATATAAAAAGGTGTTTAAGTGATTCCTAAAGTCTTTTCAAATGTAATTATACGAACAATAATACTTTAAGAGATAAAAAATATGGTTATATTTTACCATTTTTTTGGGGAGGGGAGAGGGCTTTCAGACCAGCTGACTTGCCAATTGCTTCCAACAAATATTTCTTGCTGATAAAATGGTCTTCACCACAATAAACCTGCGTCGTCCCCTTAATATCATCTAAACTGCTGCACCATTTGACCCCCTTTAAGCAGCATCTTGAA